CAAATGCTAATGTGAATTGTCTGTTTACAAGAGAATGAAATGATTATGAAAGATTATACAGCCTTGATGTGCTAGGAGTTGAAGATAGGGGAGAGAATGACCAGCTGGATGTTATGAGAGAATTTAAAGAGAATATAACCAGACACAAAGTCGAAAACGGTTGCAGAATGTGGAGCGAAAGATGAGAGGCAATGAAAAGCTCAAGCAGATTATATGGAAATAGTAGAAAGCCAACTGAGAGACGGGGTGATTGAAAAGGTCCAATCTGAACTTCAGGGTCCAAGGTATTTTACCTGCCCCACAAACCTTTTGTAAGAGAGAACGCTAGCACAACAAAATTCAGAATGGTGTTTGACGCGATTGCACGTCCGACCCCATTGATGAATAGTATTAATGAGGTGATGTAAACAGGCCAAGCATTGCAGCCAAATATCTGGGACATTATGGTGAGGGCCAGAATGGCACCTTATCTCTTATTGAGTGAGCTGAAAAAGGCATTTCTGCAAATTGGCATAAAAGAAAGAAGATAGAGATGCATTTCGATTTTTGTTCACAATTAAAGGAAAAGAAGAACACTTACGCTTTATGAGAATCCCCTTTGGTGGGGAAGCCAGTCCTTTCATGCTCGGGGGGATACCCCAACACCACTATGAGCAATTTGAGAAGCCAGAGTTTGGGAATACACTAGAACAGCTTAGATCAAATACTTATGTTGACAATCTGATGTGTACTGGAGCAGAGATTGAGGAACTAGAAACATTCAAGACACAAGCTACCTTTATACTAGATGATGGAAAGTTCCCAATTCATAAATGGGAGTCCAATGCTGAAAGCTTAGAAAGTGAAGATATGACCAACCCATCAAGAATTTTGGGACACATATGGGACAAGAATGAAGACACTCTTACAATTCCCATTAATAAAATTGTGGGTGATGGCCCAATTAACAAGAACGCCATACTAAGTCAGTTAGCAAGGGTATATGACCCACTCGGTATCATTTCACCTACTGTAGTAGAAGGAAAGCGAATGTTCAGAGAAGCCTGCGATGAAGGAAAGGGTTGGAACAATGAAGTTTCAAAGCCTCTTGTGAAAGATGATCTGAAGTGGTTGAGACAACTGAGAGAAATCAAGATCCCAAGAAGTTTAATAAAGGAGGGAAAGAAAGTCAAAGCTGTACAGCTACACATCTTTGCAGACGCAAGTGACAAAGCGTGCTTATCAGTAACAATAGCAACAATAGAACAAGGAAGTGATACAGTGAAGGGTTTACTTGTTTCAAAATCAAGGATATCAAAGGGAAATACTTCAATACCAAGGCTTGAACTAGTTGGAGGTCAAACGGCAGCAAATATGGTCAGGAATGTTTGTAAAGCTTTGGGAAAGCTGCCTATTTCATCAGTTACAATTTGGATAGATAGCAGTGGCGGCTCGTGGGGTAAATTTTTGGTGGGGCTGATGGCGTAATATTCGAAATCTAAAGCCATAGACACGGAACGCCAAAAATAATAAAAAGCCTTTCCATTCTTTACTACCTCTAATCAACAAGGCTGTCATCATTTTGAAAGTTTTGATTGAAAAAAACAAGTGCCACTATTGATTATGTATGATTTGTAACAAGCAAAGTAATAAACTATGTGAAATGTTGGTGTGCTCAACTTTATTTATTCAAGTCCGCTGGACCGTTTCTCTCTTCACAAAAAGGGGAGTTCATGGGGGATGTCAATAAAAACATAGACAACATATGGCCAACCCGTAGACGAAATCCTTGGCATTGCATATCATGGCAATTAAAAAATGTTTAAAGAATAAAAAGTTCAAACTGTTAATTGATTGATTTCCATATGCTGTGAAGCTAAAATTGTTCCAGTTGAAAGCCTGCATTGGAAATATGCTTTATGCCATTAGAAGGCCTACGGCCTAGCCTTCCCATTTTGAGCTTATTTCAGGATCGGCAGAATTAATTCTGATAAAGATCTAACTTGTATGCTTTATCTCAAAGTTTTAAAGTTGAAAATGCGAGTCATCGAATACACGCCACTCTGCTGCGCTTCACTTCAAGATCAACATTGCCTATCACATCACAACAACAAAAATTCAGCTACCGTTGAATTGAATTATTTGGGGCTAGTTAAAACTAGCCCCAAAGGAATGCAGATTCGAGCAGAATTGGCCAATCAGAAGGCAGTCATCAATTGAATAGCCAAGTCATGAGAGGCATTTGATTGGTGCATTCTCTGCTAGTTTGGGGCTAGCCCCAAAAGCTCGGGAGATGGTTTCTGATACGCGTGTTTGTTCAGTTTGCGAAAGAACCACGGACAGTGGGACCTGAACAAACTAGAGAATGGACAAACAGTGAAACTCGAAGCAACGAAATTAGTGAACAGTGCTAAGTTAATAATGGACGTTGATTTTATTTACGTTTATAAATCTAAAGATTATTTTTGGATATCTTTGGTGGGGCTGAGCCCCACTAGCCCCAATACACGAGCCGCCACTGATGGATAGCATGGTTGCTTTGTTTTGGATAAGCAACCCCAGAAAACCCTGGAAAACATTTGTTGCAAACAGAGTGAAGAAAATTGTTGAAATAGAACGAGAAAAAAACATAAAGTGGAAATTTTGCCCTTCAGCTGAAAATCTTGCTGACTTAGAGAGTAGGGGAGCAAATATTGATAAAATGGTGAATGGAAAATGGTTTGAAGGACCAGACTGGCTAGTAAATGAAAAGGAATGGCTGGTACAGCCAGAATTAAAAAGTGATTCAAAAACTTTGGAGGAAGAAAGGCCAATTAAGGAAATAATTCTATACACCAAAGAAACAGAAAATTATGAATGGGAGGAACTGTTAAAGCGTAAACGATATTGGACAGTTCTGAGGACCACAGCTTGGTGTTTGAGATTCATCAAGAATTGCTCAACAAAATTGAGAAAGGAGAAATCAACAAAGGGACCATTAACAACTGAAGAAATAACAAGAGCAAGGGATTTATGGGTGAAAAGAGCCCAGAGAAGTATCATAGAAATGAAAGAAACACCTGTCTGGGAATTATTTAGAGATGATCAAACGGGAATATTATATTGTCAAGGAAGAGTTCAAGGATACAATCCAATGAACCTTGAGGAAAGTTTATTTGCAGAGAAACGGATTAGACATACACATGAGAAAGTGATGCACATGGGAGTTGCAAATACAATGGGAGCACTCAGAGAAACATGGTGGATTCCAAAAATGAGATCTCAAGTAAAGAAATTGATCAGAGATCGCCATGTTTGCAAAGTGTTTTCAGCCAAAACTTTTGGAAATCAAGAAACTGCACCTATGCCAAAATTTCGTACAACAGAAAGTCTGCCTTTCCAGCGAACTGGAATTGATTTTGCTGGTCCGATGAGATGCAAAGGAAACAATAAGAATGAAGAGACAAAGGTGTACGTTATCATTTTCACATGCGCCGTGATGCCTGGTGTTCATCTTGAGTTGACAAAGTCACAGACCACCGAGGAATTTCAACAGAAGCTAAATGCATTCATCACTCGGAAGACTAGGCCAGAAACAATAGTGTTTTCAAGGCAACAGCTAAGTGGATTAAGGTGATACGTCAAAGTGAAAAATTGAAAGATCATTTGGCATCAGAAGGTATCAAATGGAAATTTTATCCTGTCTCGTTACTCTTGGTGGGGTGGAATGTATGAAAGATTAATTAAGGATATGAAGAAGACTTTATGCAAGACATTGGGAAAAACTACATTGAAGTTTGAGCAGTTAGCAGCAGTTATTATGGATATAGAGAGACACCTCAACAACAGACCCCTTACTTATGTAGAATGTGAAAGTGGGGAGGAGCAAGTGCTAACCCCAAATGTGATTATGTGGGGAAAAAATTGTCGCACTCTTTGAAAGCTTGAGCAAGAAGAAGAAGAATTGTCGAAAATTCAGAAAAAGATGAAGCACATTAGAGAACATGTATGGGAGAGGTGGCACAAGGAATACATCAACAGTTTAATGAACATCATCGTATGAAGAAAAGGAACTGTGTGCGTTTACCAGAATGGGAGAGGTAGTGCTTGTGATTGGTGACGAGAAAAACCGAGGTTACTGGATGAAAGGAAAAGTGGAGAGACTAGTCAAGGGACAGGATGATATCGTCAGAGGAGTAAAACTAAGACACAAAGGAAATTCGAAGTGGTTGTGCAGCCCTGGAAGAGAAGACAGATCCGGAAACTGAAAGTCTGGCCGCACGGGGTAAATCAGCCTCGGAGAAGAATGGTGGTTCAGCCGCACGGGGTAAGACGACTCCGGAAACTGGAAGTCTGGCCGCATGGGGTAAGTCGGCCTCAGAGAAGAATGGTGGTCCAGCCGCACGGGGTAAGACGGCTCCGGAAACCGTTGGTCTGGCCGCACGGGGTAAGTCGGCCTCGGAGGATGGTGGCACAGCTGCACCAGGTAAGACAGTTACAGGAGCGAGACAACGAGCTGCAGTGGACGCTGCAGAATTAACTCGGTGTTGTTTAGAAGAAGATTGAAGGTATGATACATTTGAAACTTTAATATAGACCCGTATTGGTGGAATTTGGTAGTAAACTTACAAATTTCAGGGGTGTGTTTACGATTATTAAGCATATTTAGTTGGACGTTTAGTTATTTGGACATTTAATGGACGTTTATTTAGATTTAGAACGTTTAACGCCTGGGCTCGATTAGCGAGTCTTAGAGGACTGGGTTCGAGTATCGAGCCACACTTGCCGCATGCGAAAAAGGAAAATGGCGGGCGTGAGATTTCATGAGTGAGAAAATCGCAGTCAGATTCCGAAAACTACAACCCAATATTAATTCCAAAAACTGAATAAACTTCAAAGAGATTTTGAGATATTTGGAGTGCAAGAACCTTTTCCCCTCAAAAAATCAGTCTTTCTTCACCTTAATCTATAGGAGCACAAAAAAGGGATGGCTTCTTTTTATAGAAAAAAATGTTTAACTTATTCCTTTTTGAATTGCTCATTTTGTGAAAAAGAACTGGGAAATATTACTTGGTTGCTGCTGGAAGATCACTTCCCTCACAGCTATTCGTGAATACGATCACGAACATTTGAACGATTTTTAATTTAAAATGTTGATGTTTTGAAAAAAGTGCTTATTCATTAAAATTGCTTGTTTGCAAAAACTAGCTGCTTCGCTCTTTTTCGTTTTCTATTTACGGCCAAGATTCGCAAAAGCTTTTTTTCTGCGGCCAAGGGTTTCAAATGCGACCAGAATTATGACTTGTAGATGTCCAATCAGCGAAATTGCTAACCAGATTACAAAGAGAAAATCAGAAGACGAATTTGACAAACGAGCCTGAAATAATGGACTTGTACGCATGACCAAATATTCCGAAAGAAAAGACTCCATCTGCTCCAACGAAATCATTCGTGGCTAGAAGGCAAGAAGCGATGCGGCTGTTACAATTCTTGACGCTCTTTTTAGCTCTGTGCTTAGCAGAAAGACACCACTTTCGTGGGGTGTACATGACATGGACCGTTGACCAAACAAATAACATGACATACCCTGCGAACCACAGTTCTAGCTTAGCCAAGGTTTGTACAAAGTTTTAACGTTAAAAGGCAGTTGATCGCGCTGGTGTTGTGTTTGTTAAGCAAGTAAGTCCACAGAAGTAATGTGCAGTAATTGATAGTTCTGATGCACAATATGGCTCTTGTTTAGAGCAGCACTATTTGCAGAATGACATTCAGCGATTTTCAATAATGTTATTAGCAGGTTTTTGCCATTATCTTGAGTTTCAGCAGACCAAGAAATGTCTGACAGCAAATCTTGTCTTTACTCTACCTACACTCGAGTAAATTCTTCATGTTTCTAATTGAATTATATTATATGATATACCATTTGACACTCTGCTCGCATTTCGAGCCATATGACACACAAAATCTGATGACAGCAAAGTACAAAATAACGGATTAAGGGCGAAGGAATCACTATTGAGATCCTTCAATCAGATTTCAGAGAGGTAAGCAGTTGCGCTGATAAAGCGGTTAATACGACCATTTGTGAGTTTGTGCCTATTTAAGAGTGATAAAAACTATTGGCGGATATTTTGCCGTATCGTTTCAATACGGCATTCACATTTGCTGCTCAGTATCCGGAACAACGGTAGTATCCTTGATCCCTATATTGAGTTTAGAAATCAAATGTCTGACAGTTCCAATATGTAGCCCAGTTGTCCAATTCAGTGCTCAAGCATAGCTCAAGCAAAGCTTTTGAAAACAGTTAAGCGGATTTTTGACGCAAAGCCTTAACCAAAAAAACTAATTAGAGGTGTAAGACCATGGTACAAGAAGTAAATCATGTTGCGTTGCCGAACATTCTTCCTCGACATCTTGGCTGCAAAGTCAATCGTTACCAAACATTATTTTACCTGCTTGTTCAATGTCATTGCATGAATTTTTCCAAAAGTGGTGCTCCAATTGAATATTCAATATTTGAATTGAAAGTTTTATGTCACCTTGTACCAAAATTTCCCTGCAAGCTGCAAGATTTCTTCGTTTTCAACAAAAAATCCAAGGTTCCTGTTAGCAGCCTCAGATGGCCTTACACAACAGCGAGGGCATATGAAGAAATAATAAGTGTTAGGAGACATTCCGAGTGTAACAAGAGGCGATGCATTAATATACAAGAAATTTTGTTCTTTTCATTTAATGAGAAGACTAAATGTGGTTTTAAGCTATTTGCAGCATTATTTGTTCCCTTAAAAATATCGCAATTCGTTGGAAAAGATGAACTTGACGATTTGTGACACATTTTTTGATCGAATTCTGTTGGAAAATATCACGAAGCAGCCGCTATGATTAGGCTCATTGCAGCTCCGAAAACATCCCACTAAAACGTTTAGCATATTCTCCAAGAATAATGAGGAAAATGGAGGATGTAGACACCTAGGCATGAAGTAAGTATCCACGAGTTCAATTTAAGAAGATATCGAGAATTGGTGCAAAGATGTTATTTTTAGTATCAAACCTTGGTAAATTTTCCAATATTTTCCAAATAAAAAATCTTACGTCTGACGGAAAAACATCACCTTATAACTTTAATGAAACTGGCTGTGGCCGTTGGAATTTTGATCGTTAAAAATGTTTGCAGCAGTACCGTCATTCCTGTTTCAGCCTGTGAAATACTTTTGCTCATTAAGTGTACTACCACCTATCGACTGATATTCTTTTAAAGTAAAAGCTACAGAAATTCAGTTGAAACACCTTAAGTAAAGGTCGATTCGCAAAAATGAAATTGCGACTGCCTTATTGCAGTTGTTTGCTTGAAACCAAGAATGATATCTGGCTGTAATAATATCTGAATGATATATAATAGGAAAAGCCTTCTCGATTTTAATCAAAGTAAAGGAATTTAAGTAGCATGGGATCAACAAATTTTGATATGAGATGGAAAACACAGCAATCGTTGTCCTAGGTAGCCAAGCGTCCAAAGTAATCACTGGCAAATACTGAGAGCGATTTAAGAAATATAAAATGAAATGACAATAAATCCAAACATATGGCTTGATCCCTTAATGTGCAAAGGACGTTAAGGCCAAATTTATGCGTGGCATTAGCAAATATACGTTTCTATTTTCCTGAACAAGCTTTTCTCTAGATATAATCAGGAGCATCCTATGAGTTTTTCTATTTCGTTTATCATAAAGTATCTCAGCAAGTCCCGTTAAACAAGGAAACACCTAATGATTGTATCTTATGGAAGAAACAAAGGATTTTCTTAAATCCTTTAATCAAGCTGAAAATGATCTTGTTTCCTATGCAATGAAAGCTCTTCTGTTAGATGTTTGCTCAGAATGTTTGGTGAAATAGTTTCTTTTCTTTTCTGCACACCGTCTTTAATAATGAAGTTTTAATGACCATTTTCGTTGGGAGTTTGCATATTAATCGAGGAATGTAATTATTTATTTCAACTTTGAAATTGAAAACAATCAAAGCAGCTTACTTGTTACCAGCTTCTGATTTCGTTTACACTCCTTGATTTGATGTCTTGAAGTGCCAGTCATTCCTGCAGAAAAAGCAGACAAATTTGTTAGGTCTGATGCATGGAAGCAAAGTAAATACGACGATGATCTTAATGCAACTGAGATTCATTTCATGAAATAAATTCTCAGGACTTTTGTATGGTTATTAAGTCTTCAAGTCTTCAGAACCTTGGTATGATTAAAAAGTTGATTTGTTAATTACATAAATTGTATTTATCTGGCAAAACAAAAATGATTTATAAATTGCATAGAAAAGAAGATGGAATAAAAGTGTTGTGAACAGGAGATTGCGTATAGTTCTTGTCGAATTAAATAAAGTCGAAGAGCTGGTTTAAGAAGTCTGCTAACTATCCGAAAGAGACCTTGAAGAGTTGCAACATTATATTAAGATCAAATCCGTTGTCCAAGCATGGTTTACTTTTGTAGGACAGACAGGTTAGGGAATCTAATGCAGATAGGTTTATGAATAAGAAAATGTTAAAGCTTGCACCAACAATTTGAAGGCGAGACATAGGAAAGGGAGTCATGGAACTTTTACTTTGGGCCTTTTCAACGTGAGCTTCTTCTTTTATTTCAGTCGAATCTTGTTTGTCATTTGATAACATAGAAATAGGCAATTGTGTAAACGCTATACAAAACTTGAAGCCAGGGCAATATAGACTTAGACAGTACCCTAGAACTTTATAAAATCAAAGCAAGATCCTAAAGGTTGCGTCTTTTATTCGACTTTACAGATATTGACCTTCAAGAGAACAAAATAGCCATTTAGTAAAGGTTTATCGGGTGTGAGCTTTTGTAGCTGCGTAATGACATGTAGGAAGAGCCGCTTGAAACAGTCATTCCCGTATATCTTAAAATCTATAAAACGTATACTTTTTATTTAATTATTGTTCACTCTGCTTCCCTTTTCAGATTCATTTAAAATATGGCGTGTCATGGAGTAGAAGTGACGAAAATTCCTACTGCACCAATACGTCCATAAAAAGCTGCCAGTTTTTCAAACATGATGGAACCTTCTCGTTGCAATATGGTTTCGATGGCAATAACTTTCCTTACTACCACCCATCAGTTTCTGCTGGATTTTTTTGCGAAAGATTTAACACCGAATACGATTTTACAATTGGTTCCAATACACAAACGGTGTACCTGAATAAGAATTATACATTTAAGCTATCGTAAGTGACAGTCAATTGTAATTTTTTGCTCACTGTTTACTTCAGACCGATAGAAATTTAATATTTCCATAATTCATGATATACCCCTACCTGATCAATTGTTCGTTTAATAGCAGTAAATATGATTCGCTTGTACGTAGAAATTCACTCCTGCTGCAGCTAGAAAGAAGTTGGATCACATAACGGGCACGGCTGAAAATTCCTATTTTCTTCTTATTTTGTTGACATTGAGCCTACGGAGGTAAACGTTTCATTGCAAGCTACTGATAAAATATCGTTATCTTCATACTAGTGTTTCATCTTGCTGCTGGATATACGAGTTGTTGGATACAGATTTAGATTACTCATGGAGCATGGAAACTGTCCTTTCTCTGAAGAAACGCGGATCTTATTTAAGCAATTCTAACCAGATCAATACACCACCTCAAGTCGATTTCATTCCTATAATACAGCATTACAGACAGTGGCGTAACGCAGTTTAGGCGACCTTAGTTCGAGAACTAAGGGCCCCCGACCAAAAAGGGCCCCAAAGGGGCCCCCATCAAATTTTTCGTATTGTGTGCTTTTTTACCATGTTGACAAGGTTTCCTAAAGCCATCCCAAAAGTTCTTACTAAACAGTGTTGCTAACGCAACACTTGATACATTCATTCTGTTTTGTTTTGTTTATTCGCTATAAGTTGTCTCAATACTTTATTTCTGAAACATAATCACCGAAATTACATATTTTCGGAATCTGTATAATAACTTTCTAATAACATAGTCATAACAGAAATACTTGACATCATCTTAACGGCTCCTTTTAAAACATTAATGTATCTGCTCTTATGTCTGTTTAGAATTTAGATCACCAAGTAAACGTTGCTGTAGGTATATTGAACCTTTATTCTCAAAAAGGTATCATTTCATAATAACACAATTCGATTCAATTCGAACAGAAGTCATTCAGTTAGTATGTCTGCAAATGGAAAGCGCCGATATGAGTCCGGAGCAAAGAAACGAGCCGAGAAAAGGCGAAAAGAGGAAACTGCAACAGCAAACACCAAATCCATTGGTTCTTTTTTTCAAAAAATTTTTGACCATGATACTGTGGACACTACAATGACATTTGTCCTTTGATCATCATTAAAACCTAAAACGAACGAGAGTGAGAAAACGCAAGAGATCAGTTGTAATGAGAGGCAAGAGTGTTTCCAAGGTAAAGAAGAGCCGATCACTTACTTAGATCAAGATGACGAAACAGAAACGAGTAGCCTTAATGAGCATGAGCCTGAAGTATTTGATTTGTCTAGAGAAAACCCAACTGATCGGGGCCATTTCAAGGAAGACATAAAGAACGCAGCGTTGAAAAAGAACATTATTCAACATGGACCCTG